TTTGGCTCATTACTTGTAAACTCTAGCAGATAAATTCCACAAAAATCTTAACGTATATTCTACGGGCGATGTTCTAGTACCTGTACAAAAACTGATAAAGTCGATCACGCGTACTCAATTTTATAACATGCCATTATCTCATTCTCTTTTAAAACCTATCCGTGCTAAACATTCTCCCGTTAACGTTTGACAAAATGAATATACGATGGGTGTAAAAATTTGTTGACTCTGCGCAAAAGTTCTCGTTCCTGTCTAGGGACTCAAAGGCAGAATTTTTGGCATATTACAATTTTTATCCCTTCGATCCTTATTGTATAAGTGTATATGAAGTTTGTGCGGATGCTTCACCCCAGAAATTCAACTGGTCTTCCAGAACAAGATGCGTCTTCAACATCAAAATTATCATAGCAAAATTTTGCAAACTGGTTTTGGCATTGGCTTTCTGTTAATACGTCTTGTCCATATATATCCAATAATTCTTTCTTGTTTGTACGGCATTTTCTCCGTATTGATAGGAAACAAGAAAAAAATACTGTAATTGTACCGCACTAGACTTTACAAATTAAGGCGTTATATGAGAAGTGGTCGAAAAACTGATTCACTTCAAAATATTTTTAATTGCTTTCTTGTGTCAAACACGTCAATGCATCAAATTCGTAAATCGCGGCTTTTAAGTTTGTATACAAGAAAACAGACATGCGGAGAAACAAGCTTAGATTCGTTCAATCCAAGTGACTCTAACTAAACACTTAGATACGATTATATTACACTATGAACTCTTACAGAATAAACAGTAAGGAAATTTTATAGCTTTAGCAAAGTGCTCTAAGCTTGACTCAAAGCGCATATATATTACTTAAGTTTCTCACTCAATAATAATACAGAAGTTGTATAAACCGGGTTAAGTATGTCGCGAATCGCGTTTGGTTTACTTATGTGTTCCAATCCGTAATAAAAATGCATTTCATTTCATATTGGTTGCCTTTAGGCGTGCCAATAATTGTTCAAATTAATTCCTTAGTTGATTTAAAAATGAAAAAAAATATCTGCATAATATTTAATATTTTTAAACACAAATAATAATTTTTAATATTTTTAAACACTTTTTTAACACTTTTTTAGAATAGACAAGCATCTACCTTTTACTTTCTCTATCTTTCTCTTTTCTTTCCTAATATTGCTTTTTCTCTTATCATTTGTTCTCTTAAACGACTTTCATGGATCCCTATAAGTTGTTTACCAAAAAAAAATAGAGACCAAATTAATGAAAATGTTTACGTATAAAGATACTTTCTACATGCTCTCTCTTAAGCTCCGCTAAAACATAACAACCAGTTTCAAAGGCAAAAAGATCGAAAGACATGAGCATAAAACTAAATCATCATTTATATAATCAAATGCTAAGCAAATGGGAAACGATTGTTGCAATATTTGTGAATGTGTGGACGGACAGACAAGCAAATTGAATTTCAGTTCAAAAACGAACGTTAAACCAGGCACAAGTAAAACTTTTCGACGCCTGACGGTAACATTGCTTGTGACAATTATACAAGGAAGTTAGTAAACCAGCCAATAAAGACGCGAAAAATTAAAAAAAAATTTTATAAATTTAAACAATAATAATAATAATAACAAAATGATTAAACTAGGTTTTATACTATTACCGGTAAGTGCTTATACCAATTTGTTTACGTTTGCTTAGTGTTTGATGTGTGCGTGTGTGTGTGTGTGTGTGTGTGTGTGTGTGTGTGTGTACATGTTCATCTTTGCTCATAGACATTGAGACCTGCTAATTATCTGTAATTATCGTGTAAAATCGTAATGAACTCAAATAAATACACAACATATTTCTCTGTGAAAATGAAAGAAAATTGAAAAGCATTTACTCGTCTATTAACACTGCTTTTTATACCCTACCTTATTTTTGGTATAATGGTATATTAAGTTTGTGCGGATGTATACCCAGAAAAACGTGAGATAGACCCATATTTTATTATATCGATATAATCCATCTTAAGTCGATGTAACCGTCTTGTCACCATTCAGATTGCAATTTTTGTGATAATGTGTTCAAATTTGGTATAACCATGCGTTTTAGACCAAGGACAAACGCTATTAAAAATGCTTCGGCTTGGACCACCTTTTCGACCACTTTCAAATAACCTCTTTCAAAATACTATAGGTATAGGGTATTCTATGGTGGACTACTTTATGGCAGATCACTTTACTCTTTTTTTTGTTTTTCATAAGCAAAAGTGTGACAAACGTGACATCAATACAGACGTATAAAAAGTCTATGGAAAATTTTGTGGAGCTTTTGTACAAATATTTTTTCTTCACATAAAAAATTATTTTCAAAACCTTTACTTTCGCATAACGATGGTTATATGTTTTGAATGCTAATTCTGGACAAGTAAAAGAAAATACAAATTAAAACAAAATAACAGTTTCGAAATATATGTATATAGTACACATGCGTACGTGCGACACATTTAGGTTTGAAAGAGCTAGGGTTTGACAAAATATATGCGTATGAATATATATGTATTAATGTACGCACTTTACTCTCTCCTTCTGTGTTTCTGCATATTTATTTATACGTTTGCTAATGTCTAATGGACCAAGAAATAAAGGCTGACCTTGAATATTATTTATTTAGCGGATTGTGTTATCTCTTTCTCTCACTTCCTCTCGCTCTCGCACACACACAGACACTCTTTCTCCCTCTCTCTCAACCCGTCTGCATATGCTTATTTACAATTGAGAATAATTGAAAAAGTCAGTCTATATTTGTTACCAGCTGTTGCATTGAAAAAACGACTATAAATTCAGTAATATCTGAGAGTAAGCGTCTGAATTCAGTAACATCGGAGAGTAAGTGTCTGAATTTGGTAACATCTGAAAGTAAGCGTCAGTATTTGTTTACCATTGAGAGTAATTGTAAAAGTCAGCAGCATAAACAAAACGAGTCGCAGTAAATTACCAAAAATCAGTCCAAAGCCAAGGCTATATGAGCGCTAGTGGTGAAACGTTAGTTTTGAGGATTTCTCCAAAAATCAGCAGCTACATTTATGATAATAGATTTTTTTTGCTTGTTTGTTAAATTAAATTACAAGGAGTATTGAAAAAAAAATTATATCAATAATTTTCCAAATACCTAAAACAAAAAAATACATGTTGAAATTCTCTATTCATATGAAATAAGGGATTAAACGAGTTTTCGCATGATTTGTATGCAAAAGGTATAATAATAATAATAGTAATAAAAAAAAGAGGGAAGTACCAACAAGCAACGAAGAAAACGTACTCGCCTAATGTGCTTCCGTTTGCGACACTGTAGATTTTTGCATTCTGTGTGTATGACTTGAGCTTAAGTTTGAACTTTTTTAGGCTTTGCTTTTAATTTGATTCTGTTTACCACAATAGTTTGTTGGCATACTTCGGTTTGGCGTTAGAATTTCTCAACTAGAAAACGCCCACTACATCTCCTGAGATATTCTTGTTGCTACTATATGAAGTACATGTTATGTAACGATGTTATCTTTCAGTTATATTTACTTCGTTTGTAATAAAATGAAAAGCAATTACCGCAAGGGTATAAAAACATTTTGAGAGTTTAAATTCGTGACCAAAAATTGTCTTCAAGCGTCAGTTCCCAAAGTGGTGTAAGGTGTGTGCATGAAAAACTCCTACACTCCTCAAACAAATCTTTATAGGTCTGCGTTCAACATAACAAACAAATACCAACCATTTATATCCGCCATAACATATATTAGGTGTTATGAATATTTATATCCCTTATAAATACGCTTTACGAAATCAAGGCTTTTTCTAGTGGCTCTTGCACTGATTTAGGCAAAGCGTTTGATTTGCTTAACCGTAACTTACTTGCTTGATGATCCTTACATTACTAAAAGGCTTTACATGTGTTTGGTTAGACCTATACTTGAGTACGCCTCTGTTGTGTGGTCTCCTTCATATAGGTGCTATGTAGATTCAATTGAATCTGTTCAAAAGCAATTCTTGCTGTTTGCCCTTAGGAGTTTTGGTTGGGATCCGATTGCCTCTCCTCCCCCTTATGAAAATAGGTTGTTTCTTTTGTCCTTACCGTCTCTCGAAAAACGTAGATTTGTTCTTGGCGTTTCCTTCCTAATCAAAGTAATAAATGGTGCTATTGACTCGCCTGCATTACTTGGTAAAATAAGCTTTAATGTCCTCAACCGCTTCTCTAGCTCTGAGCTGTTTAACCCGCTCAGAGTTGTTTGCAAGAAGCTAAATGATGTCTATCACTTATTCTCATTATCGGGCTCTTTAAAGTCCATTAAAGCAACATCGCTTAAATGCGCGTTATTTACCTATGTCGTACTTAAACTAGCTCTTAATCTTAAAATGTCACGGTGAGTCGAAAATTAATTGTTGTTAACTATTATCGGTTGCCAAGCTTATGCATGTTTGCGATGGCTTGGGGGTTCAATCGCAATTTGGTCTTGTACCGGTTGTGGGTATGGCTCTATGCTAGTTGTGTACAAGCTTTTTTTCTTTTTTTGCTTTTTTTTCATTCTTATTTGTTTTATTGTACTTATACTAAGTTTTAATAATTATTAATTTAAGATTTACTTTAAGAGTCAATTGGACTCGACTGTCAAAATTTTCGGTTGAGTTTTTGTTGTATAAGTGGAATATATAAATAAATAAATAAAATAAATTATTTCTGTTCTTAAACAAACTAATCCATCTGACGAAAGGAATCAATCAGTTTTTTCTTTTCACTTGTTGATTAACAAAATAATAGTTACGATTTCTAAACCCCTTTCTGGATAAAAAAGAGGTTAATGTCAAAAAATTGTCTGATCTCTATGAATAGGTTGAGTTAAAGCAAGTAAGAAAATTAAATTCTGCCGTGATCGAATCTTTTACACCCATCATCGTTACCCTAAGAAAGATTTAAAAAAAATGATTTTCGTACTTTATAATATTGGGTGATTTTTTTCTATTTTCAGAATAAAAGTCGAAATTTAAATGGTGTATGCGCTGTACTTTATAAGTAACAAGCAAACAACATGGAAAGCAACAGAGTTCACAGATTTTGTTATATAGGCGTATCGACGCGTTGTAGGAGTGTTCATTCAAAAGTCTGGATCTTTCTCAAATTCTCTTGCAAGTTGTAGGCGATATCTTTGTTTCCGCTATTATAAGAATGCTTAACACAGATACGACACGGTTGCGCATAAGGGCAAATGAATATGCAGACATGCTTAGATGCCTTCTGAATTTGAACCTGGCCAAGAATTTATATACTTTCATTACCTTATGCTTGAAGCTTACTTCCGTGCATTGTAATGGCGTTAAAAAAAATAAACTCTGGCTCCCATTAAAATTGAGTAGGCCAATTTTCTTCCATTGTTTTATTGTGAAAACATTTTAACAAAATATCGAATATCGTATGTTCGAATGTCGTACCATAAAATTAGGTCCTTCTCGTCTCTTGCAAATGAACATGATGCATCCATCTACCGTATCTATAGATAAATGGATTATTCATCTATAGAGAGTGAAATAAGACTTAAAACTTATTGACGAATTCATGATTTTTAGATAGTGCTAGCCTTCGCATGTTAGGTTCCAAAATATCAAGACATTCTGAGCATTAATTTATAAATTCCGGTTGTTTTAGCGACGCTGTACACATCTTTCCGATGTTTCACAAAAACAAAAGTATCTGTAACTGCGTGCAAACAAATGATCGGAATGTCAAGAAATTGAGACACATATCGTTTGAAGCTTGGAACGATTTCAAAATCATATGCGAATAATGGTAATATTCACATGTCACCCTACAAACATATTAAATGATGTGTTATACGATAAGTATGCATAATATACTTCGCCTTTTTTTATGTAGCGCTATAAGTCTGCATATCCATCTGTCTGTCTAAATAACGAACTACGACCTTTATTGATTTTAGAGCAACACTTAATCGCCACTTTAGAGGATTGGAGACTGCAAGAGAGGGACGCACGAGGAGATACAGAGTTTTTCAAATTTTTGCTGCACGGACACTCTCCAGACGGTTACAACTAAAGGAAATAGATATGCTTTAACTCATATAAGAACAAACGGACTAGCGAAACTTACTTACCGGACGGGCTGATCGTACCCCCTCGAATATTCTTTCCCTACCTTACCCACGGTAAATTTCGAAATTGACTCGATTCTTATTTCGATAGATTTAATTATTAATTTCTATTAAGCTTTAAAATCAATTTTCGGAGCCTTTTCAAAATGAGTTTTACTTTCAAAGTAAAACTTTGCAAAGCTTATCGAAATCAGTGTTAAATCAAACTGTTAACTTTAAAATTCTTTGCAAATTAAATTTCAGATCCTTGTAATAATTGTTTGGTTTTTACGTCTTACCAAAGCCACGGTACAACCTAGAGCACCACATTTTCAATATTTTGAAAGGTAAATTAAAAAAAAAATTTCTTATACTATTTTTATAACTTTTATTTATTCTAGACCCAAATATCGTTACCCGTACTATGATGAAAATGGGCGCGGAAAACTTTTATATGGTTATGGTGGATCGGATTTATATCAATACAAAACTTATACACCCTTAGAAGGCATACATTAATTAAAAGGAAATTTTAAAAATAAAACCACATATTAAATGTTGCTTGATAATTTATTTATTTATTCTTTTTATGCATTTAAATGAAATAATTTGTAAGATGAACGTTAATTTTAAAATATTATTAAGTTAATTAACACAACATTGCATAGCCAGACGAGCAGGCAGGCTTCGATCGATTTAAAAAATGATTCTGAATTGATCGGTATAAAAAAAGGTGGGTCTATCTTAAGACCTTCTTTGTGTTACATACGTCCGCACCAAAACAGTACACCGTGTACCGTAAGATATAATAAATGAATAAAATTATTATACCTTGCCTCACTTCCGGAAAAGATATATTAAGCATACGTGTGCAGCACTCAGGGTAACTTGAAATAAGCTCATCTCTTATTAGTAACTCAATCGATTCAGAATCCTTTTGTAAGGATCGATTCAGAATCCTTTTGTAATTTAAGTTTGTCTGTCTATCTGATGTTCGTCCTTCTCTCTTTTGTTCACACTGCAAGTTACAATTTGTGAGATATTTTAATAAAGCTTTAATACACTGAATTCTCTTCTTACATGAATTATTTTGTTTTAACCCAATTTTCAATATTCTTCGAACTTTTTTATAAGCTTTTTTAATGAATTTTTCTGATGAATTTTTTTTTTTATGCTTCTATGAATTATGTCATTCTCACTCTTCACAAATATGCATTGTAATTTATCGCAATGTACTTCACAATTCACACACGGTTAGTGAGACGAACTTAGTTTGATTTTTCCAAATATAATACACAGGTAGGAGGCATCGGTACTGACAAAATACTTTCAATGAAAAGTACTACATAATAGTTTAAATATATCGCTCCATTCCGAGTCAAGGGGTGAAGTTTAAAATTTGTTTCAAAAGCTTGAATTACTCTGCAACATTTTTGCCTCCTTTTCATAAGCTTTGCTCTTTTCTACTAGAAATATCAATATTGGCCAGAAACCGGCATCGGCTGCACATTTCCCGGATACGGATATAGTAAACCGAATAAAACTATTGTGGCTGGCCCTGGACGCTACGGTGATAAGTACATAAGTACATACATCGATATGCAAACCGGCCCATTTTCAGCGTTTGGTTTAAAGAGTACCGATGAGCGTCTATTGCATTCGGCGCATGGTCAAAATGACTATCGTCCAACTGATGTTATCGAAAGCAATTTATTTGAATGAATTCATGAATTAAGCAGCGAAGTGCCCTACGAACATGACGTCAGTGATTCTGATAGGTTCCAGTCGGCTAAACATTTTATGGATAACACGTTGGCGCACAAGAAATCTATGTAGATACCATGCATGATTATGATAAACCATGGATTCAAGTAGAAGACATTAAAGTACGTTTCCTTTCTTGCGAAGACATATTCAAATCGCGGAATGATGACGAATATTGGGCCAACTATTTCGGGGTTGCTTTTATTGGCTATAATTATATTGCCTTCCTCAATGACTCTTTTTATAACAGTTCTAAAAAGGTATAATGTAATTATAGTGTGCTTAACCAAAAATATTCAATTCTGAAATATAAGCTAAAAATGGGTGTCGAAGAAAGCAGCGAAAATAATTATTGAAATGTTTTGTGTATAAAAAGAAATTTCCAACGTTACGGGTTTTATTATATGAAAGTTATTATTAATTTTAAAAATGTAGCTTCTTTCTTTGCTTTTGCCAACCTTATAATTATGAAAGACTTTTTTAGGTATAAGGTTTACTTATTCTTTGCGTTTGCCGCATATGTTATTTTTTCAGGGAAGCAAAGATTAGCAATTTTTATACTACCATGCACAGTTTTCCAACGTTGAGAAGTTTGCTTACATATTTTATAAATATATATAATTAACAAGTATATAAAATCAAAGTTTCAAAAGACTTTATTAAATATGTCTCGCAAAGAAGCTTTATCACAATTTATCAACCAAATCCATGGCCGGCCTGTAGTGGTAAAACTAAACAGTGGTGTCGATTATAGAGGTTACTCGAGTTTGCTTAAATAAAAATGCCATGTGCCATTTTCAATAAATTTATTTTATTTACTAAGGAGTTTTAGCTTGTTTGGATGGCTACATGAATATAGCTTTGGATCAGACTGAGGAATATGTAAATGGTCAATTGAAAAATAAATACGGTGATGCTTTTATACGTGGCAATAATGTTTTATATATATCCACGCAAAAGCGACGAGTTTGATTAAGACAATTTTTGAAAAGAATTCAATAAAACTAAGAGAAATGATAATTTAAACTTAATAAATTATTTAATAAGTTAACAAAAAACAAATACCCTACATTATCTAAGATAGTAAGGTGAATTAAAATCAGTAAAAAACGAGTTTGAACTGCTACATACTGTGTCACTTTCCTAAATTTTGTAGAACTATACTTGAAAGTTAACGAAATGTATAGATCATTTAGGAAAAGAATTCAATGCAGATAATTGCTAACACTGAAACCACCTCGACCTAAAGCGTCTATCAAACGATAGCCTCGCCAACCATAACGTTTTGTATAATATGGACACCAATTTCTCCCGAAATGAGGATCAAAGGGAATTTCACTTTCCGGTATGAACGGAGAATTACCAAAGAATAAATTTTCAAAATAGTCCAGTATAGCCTTTTTCTTCTGAAAATGTTCCAAGAAATGATTAGCGGATGACGCTGTTTTTGGATTTTCAGTTGGTAGATTTTTAAAATATTTAAAATTTTTGAAGTCCACATTGGCAAAGTTTATAACATCGTGTAGGTCATGTAACGTAGGCGAAGAAAATTGAAACAAATAAAAGAAGCTAAGCTGTATGAAAAGAAAAAGTAATGCAAAAATGAAAAAAAAAAAAAACAAATAATAAAAATTCAATAATTACCATCAATAACCAATGATTGGAACCCATCTTGTGTTGTCACTATTCTTCGGATGAAATTCCACTAAATTCGATTATAAAACTACTAGTCATCTCGACCACCCTTTGAAACATTTCTGCACAATATGCTAATATAAATGAACCAAAACAATTGCTTAATTTTTGCTTTTGATTACAACTGCATGGTTTTTATGAGTACACTTGCAAGTATGTACACTGTTGTCTTTGCTTGTGCAACACTTTATATTTATATGCATACACTTATTTATGTCATACGTAACTGATAGCGTTCAGCCGCCATTTATTATAATTGTCACGGCTTCATACGAAATTGAAGCTATGCGCTCAATTCCCATAACTTTTACCAAATCTAAAAAGTTGCTCAAGGTTATAATTTTATTAGCCAGACTAAAAATTGCACTATGCAAGAAATTTGAATCCATGCGTTAGAAATTAAAAAAAAAGCATCTTTTTGATACAACAGGCTTATATGCTTTGTTTTCGTTGTTAGCGCGCAACCGAAAATGCACTTTAGAGGAACTTTCAACTGGAGCCAATTTATGCTTCCCTATATCTAGTAAACTCAATTTGCAATCTAAACAGTTTGTAAACAATTTTCATTCGATAGTAAGATGGTAAGCCATAATTATTGGTAATCGGACGGCTTTATTTATTTACATATTCTATGGGTTTCTGATTTACAATTTGAACCGCACGCACTTTTGATTTGATGGTTTCCGCAACTTATGTGTGAAAATATGTTCCGCCCTTAAAAGCTTAGATAACAGTACAAATAAAAATTTTCTTATCAAAAGCTTCCTAGCAAACAAGATGAGGTTCAGGGTGCAATTAGCATGTAAAAGTTACAAATGTAGTTAAATCTTAAACGTCCAGACGTCGCAGCACGACGGAACGAAAAGAATACGAAATTAGTGACTTGTTCATGTTTGAATAGCTTAATATAATGTAAAAACTTCCATTCAATTGTTTTTCAAAAATTCATTCAAATAAATACATATTTACTCAAAACAAAAAAGGGATCGGTTTCGAGTATCGTTGACATTTTTATATTTTTCCTTTTTTTCTATAAAATGTTTCTATAAATTTTTAAAAACACTCTTTTATAGCTGAATTGGAGTTGCTGTGTGGTGTATTAACAAAAAAAAGAAAAGCAATATAAAAAGTGTTTTGTTTTTTCAATTATTTAAATACATGATCATATGAAAGTGTGAAAAAAGTCGGAAGTGAGATTACTTGGGTTAAAAAAGCGAAACAATTCTTTCCAACATTCACGTTTTTAAGCTTTGCGCAAAGATACCGTTTGTTTGTTTATATTATTATTACCAAGTTTATTACATATTTTTTTCTTATTTGTTGCCGTTGCCATTAGATTTTATAGAAAAATAAAACGGAGCAATGCCAAAGAATTTTCTTATAAAAAGCCCTGCTGCGGAATAAACCGTACTGTATTATTGTTACCCACTTAAAGCGATTTATTCAGCCCAAGATAGCAGCTCTTTCATAGCAGGATCATCCATATCATCTGCAAAAGCGAAAAACCTTAAAATTTATTAAATGTAAGTAAAATTACTTTCAGTTACCTCCACCTGTAGCTGCAGCGGCGGTTGCATTTGAAGGGTTAGTCGCTTTCTTCTTTTCTTTGGCTTTTTCGGGTAACTCATCCGCGGGTACTTCTGGTAACGTCGCGGCTGGTTCGGGTATTCCAATGATTTCTTTATCAAAGTTCTCTTGCTCTAATTCATCTAATTCACGTTCCAAGTCTTCGTCATCTATGTCAGCACCAAACGCTACAGGATTTGAAATGGCTTCAGAAATTTCTCGTGCTACGTCCTGCTGTTCGGCTATATCGTCCATCATGTCGTGCACTTTGTCCACGTCCCTGCATAACAAGTTAGTACAACAGTATATTAAATTAATTTTCCTGAGCATAAGTAGTAATACTAACATATTTTGATGGGCAGCCTTCAAAGCATCGGCAGCATTTTTCATAGTTGTCAAGACGGCGGTATTCGTGTTAGCACTTTCCAATGCTTCTCGTTGCATTTCAATTGTTGACAAAGTGCCATCGATTTGTTGCAATTGCTTTTCTAAGCGTTTTTTTTTCTTTAAAGCTTGCAAAGCCACTAAACAACATTAAAAGATAAAAATAGTTGTAAAAAATCGGACCACGCACCTCTTCATCTCCAAAAATTTTATTTTGATAGAAACAGTAACGAAAGCATAATAGTGATCATATGCTTTCTTGTAAATAATCTATCTATTTACATAGCCGTTATCGACAGTTATATGTTAGTTGAGAAAAGATAGTTTCCTTTTTGCCAACATTATAACAAAAACGACGTAGTTTCGCTTACCTCTTTTATTTTTCGAAGCATTTTTACGTGCTATGTTCAATTCCTCCTCAATTTTAGATTCGAGAAATTCCTGCTTCTTAATTAACATATTTTCTGTTTCTCGGAGTTTTTGTATAGCTTCACCCGTACTTGGGGCCTGTTCCTTCTTGCCCCCAAACATTTTACCAAAAAAACTCATCTCGTTGCTGATATTTCTTTAACGGAACTACTAACGCGCTATATGTACTTAAGATTTCAGCGATTATTATATTATATATATATATATATTATATTTGATAGATTCCTTCTATAAATTAATGAAAACCTGCAATATTTTCCACTGGCGAATTCGTCTAAATTAACAATCATTTTTTTCACGATAATGCGTCATCCCAAAAATTGACAGTTTATGTTTAAAGGTAAACACCTCATATATGGCAACGCTGGTATAATAGCCGCCCTTTCCAACACCATTTATCTCACTGTTATGATTCTTGAAACATATGTTTAAATATTCCAGCGAATTTTCGTTAGTTAGTTTGCTGAATAACAGAAGAAGAATAACTTATAACATTTTGCATTTGATATTTGGAAAGCACATTAGATATTAATTAATTTAATTGTAAATATGGCTAATCGCACAGTGAAAGAAGCCAAAAACATACACGGCACGAATCCTCAATATCTTGTTGAGAAAATTATACGTTCCCGCATTTACGACTCAAAATATTGGAAAGAGCAATGCTTTGCTCTTACCGCGGAATTGTTAGTGGACAAAGCCATGGAGCTGCGTTTTATAGGGGGTGTTTATGGCGGCAATATTAAACCCACGCAATTTCTTTGCCTAACTCTGAAAATGCTCCAAATTCAGCCGGAGAAAGATATCGTGGTTGAATTCATAAAAAATGAGGAATTTAAATATGTGAGGGCTTTGGGTGCATTTTATCTTCGCCTCACCGGTAGTGCTTTGGACTGTTACAAATATTTGGAGCCTTTGTATATTGATAATCGTAAACTACGCCGTCAAAATCGCGTAGGCCATTTTGAAATTGTTTACATGGATGAATTTATCGATGAATTATTGCGTAGTGACCGTGTCTGCGATATTATTCTCCCGCGTATTCAAAAACGCTCTATTCTAGAAGAAAACAACGAATTGGAACCCAAAGTCTCAGTTTTAGACGAAGATCTCGATGACGAGATAATTAGTGATGAAGAAAATCCTGCCGAAATGGAAGAGGAATCAAAAAATAAAACCCATAAAAGATCGCGTAAAGAACGATCACGTTCCGAATCTGCAGAGAGGTCAGGATATAATGTAAGATCCCGTGATTACAACGCCGAATTGGAGCGCTATCAGAGGGAACGCGATAGAGCACGAGATATTCCAAATAGCAGTAGCAGCAGTCGCCATCATTATTACGAGGAACGTGATCGTACCTTAAGAAGCCATGGAGGCTATGAACGTGATGAACGTTATATTCGCGACAGTAAACGCCACGAAACTCGGGATTCGCGCAGTGATCGCGAAAGGGAACGTGAACGCCGTGACCGAAGGCATTAAACGTTAAATATTTCAACAATAAGTGTTATGTTTAGGTTATGAATTAGAATGAATAAAAATAGCAATTTCCTTTTTTGTATATTAATTAGCTTTGCAATATTGCATTTCTGTTCGCGTTGCCCAAAGAAAATAGTAGTTTATATAGTAGTTACGGAAGCAAAACCTGATGTTCATTACAGCCTCTGAAAAACAAGTAATCTCGCAAAGAAAATTTGCTATTCACGCTCAGAACCGAATGTAAGGACTTTGTACCAGTCAACCGCAAGACAGTCTCTTAACAATATAAGTAAAGATGACCAGGAGTCCCAAAGCTGAGCAAACTTCATATAAAAATAAAACAGTTCCAAAGCGCTGACCTCAATTTTAAAAGGCGCGGTGTATAAGAGGAGGAAATCGTACCACCTGATGGAGAGTTTGTACAAAAGAGTCCATTGGCATGACGCATATACTAGAAACCAAAGTGACTAAGCTCAATTGTTCGGGACAAGCTTGCGGTATTGAATTTTTCTGATACCGTTGAGCAAGACTCAAATTATGAAATTCGTTAGCAAATTTTTTTCGATGCTGTTCTCCCCGTTCTTGCCAAGTTACGTCAATTGCAGCCAAAAAATTGGTATCGTGATGTAGCGAAAAGGGAGAAAGGAACTTAATTACATTAAAGGCAAGAACAGGCAATATAATATCTTTAATGGAGGCCAAATTGACAATACGCTTATACAAAGACAAAGAATAAATGTAAAAATCAGTTTTTTATGCAGTAACAAAATGCCCAAATTTGTTTTTCGAACAAATTTATTATATTTAACAATTAAAGAAGACTGATTTGAAATATAAATGCGTTCCGTTTGTATACATTTATAACACACACACGCACACCTCTATGTGAATTAAATTCAAACGAGAAGTTTTTAATTACTAATATTAAATAAAAGTTGTAAGCAATAACTGCGCGACAATGGTTTAAAGCGAGTAGATTAATGTATGATTAAATAGTTAAATTTTTATATGAAAATAACTTTTCTTTCATAATGAAATCTTTCAAATTTTAAATTGTCATGGCGGCTGCAGAATGTGTAAACTACAGATATACGGCAATGCTCATAAAAAACAATAGCTATATAGGAAAAAAAAATGGCATACAAAAAGAGTGCTTTCATAATTTAAAAAAAAACTTTTAAAAATATATATTATCTTACTTCAGTATAAATGAATAATATGATAACAACATTCGACGTAACTTTAGTGGCACCTAAGCTAAGAGTATAAATTATTTTTGCTTTCACACTAAATTTGAATTCAAACTTAAAGCGAATAATAACCGATAACGGATATAAAAGCAATGATCAATAAACTGAAACAATATTGCACTAATCACCATATATTTCGTTTTACTTTGGTCTCTCTATTCACATAAACCAGATCCTTTTCTTCTTTAGCTGATACTAACAGCTTTTCGCACAGTAGAGTAACAGAGGCTGTAAAGAAATATACGTAAGAATCATTTTTTCTGTTCAGTTTAACTATATGTATATAAATATATAAATCCTATAAATTACCTGTAAACTTAACTAGACATTGAGGCTTCTTCTTCCATACAACTCCCACATAATAAAAGGGAATACCCACTAATGTGATCAATATACCTATGCCTACCTAATAGACGAAAAATGTTAAAAGTGAAATAATACGTGAAAAGTAATATCCACTGAAAAGTTTATTACCTCATATGGGGCGACATATACGGGCACAATAATCAAAAAGGCACATATTATAATAAATACAATGGGAATCCACAAGGAAACCTAAAAGTGAAATTTAATTAATTCAAATGACTCTACCGTTCAAGTTCTTGTGACAAACAAACAGATGTTAGTGTTTATGACAAGGACGACGACAGGTTAAGAACACTGAAGATATACTGAGATTCCATGTTTCTGGTGAAAACTACAAAACTGCATTTTGTCAACGAGAAATCGATGAATTTTTCCGTGTACAATTGATGACTAATTTCTAGCGTGAAGCGGAACTGAAGAAGCCGCGTCGAAGTCGCTTAAAAACCAAGATCAGATTGACAGTTTTTTCGAATATCGCGGTATTGTCCATTGTCACTTCTTTTCGCCAGCCCACATTGTTTATAAAAAATATTGTTTGATGGTTATAAAACGATGAAAGCGATGAAATTTAGACTTGGAAGAATACTCAAAAATTTCTCATTATTGATTCATCTGCGTAGGTTAGTATGATCTTCAGTAGGTTTCGCGTTTGGCTAGCGTTAGACATTGATGATATCCTTGCGCTCTGATTCAAGACGAGGAATATTTTTATGCATATAAGCCTGAGGTTTTACAACTGAGTATTGCACACCTTTTATATGTATTTAAGACAGTTTGGGACAACATTGGAATAAAAA